CTCAGTTTTATTATTATTATTATTATTTTAATAAATACAAGTAGTTTCTCCTATTTTATATTTTCATCAAAAATAATATAAAAAAACATGGAATAAACAAATTTCTTACAAATTTCAGTATGATTTGATTCCATAAATCAGTAATGAAGTTTTTTAAAAAAAAGAAGCAAAAATTTTAAAATTTTAATTTTAAAGCACTCTTTTATTGGTAAATCATGATCATTTAAATAAAAATTCACAAACAATTTGTAAAATTATTACAACTATGTCATAAGATGAATTAATGGTCCTATTGAAATTTCATATATAAATTATATTTAAAATCCACGAAATGTAAACTTTTTTATAACTGTTACTACAAAAGAAATCAGATATAAACAATAATGATTAAAGTAAAGAGGGCACTTCATTTTATACAATTGCATGGATGGTCATATAACATTTATGTAATATATTTTACAGAAACACACATGAATACATATTCACTGTTGTTTATTCTTTTGATATCTTATAGTATATACAAAACATTTTTCAGTCTCACAACAATGCAATAAAAATTTTTCTAATCCATATCAATATTTAACACAGCAATAGAAAATTACATATTATCTAGACACCACTTCTTTCTTTGACAGAAATATATGTTCAAATATAAAAAAAAGTGGTATTTGATTTCTACATAATTTTATGCTGTTTACTAAATATGAATTATTCATTTACATATCACAATGTTTTCAGTTTCAATGATGTTATTTCAGTTACTGTAAATGTTTAAACACTTATTTCTCTTTTACACCATAATTCATTAGAGTCGTTTTCCTTGTGTGATGTAATGGATTCTTCGGTGCAGACGATCGTTGATGAGCTTGTTGCTCCCGAAATGTGTCTTATGCATGAATCTGCCTGATTTGCAATATTAACAATTGGCAGACTTATTTTCCTTGTATATTTGTTTGGATAAATATTAAAACTAGGATCTTTGCTTCTAGAAAAAGCTGCTGAAAAACTACCCGATCTTTGTCTATGTTTATTTTTATTTTGTTTCATAAATTCTGCCCATGTTCCTTTAACATTGGTCAGAGGTTCCAGTTCGTGACTTTCGCTGGTTGGAATTGGAACTGGACAACTGGCACTGGAAGTTGATAGCGTGGATTCTGAAAGAGCATATTGAGTTTTTTCTACGGGTGCTGCAGAAGATTTGCAACAATGGACGGTTGGATAATTTAGTTGAAGCTGGCCTTTTCTGGGTCCAGCAAAACTCAAGAGAGATTGGAAAAAAAATGTTGCATACAACCAACTTATTGACATCAACAATACAAGGAATGTTCCTATTTGTTGATATGCTAATATCACAGATGGAAACATAAGTACACCTGCCATAAATGATGTAAATGCTGCCATTGCCACAGGACTTCCCACTCTTGATAGAGAAAATATAACAGATGATTCTCTGTCATCATGGGGTGATAATCTATATGCAATACCATAATGGAGAGTCAAATCAACTGCTAACCCTATAGCAACTGATACAGTAATACTTTCCAAAATGTTGAGTTTCCATCCAAGTAGTACTAAAGATGCAACAGTTACAATAATAATGCATGCTATTGTGATAATGGCATAGATACTAATTAGTAAATTAAGTGTTGTTATTAATAAAGAAATAAATGATACGCCAATAGCAACTCCAATAGCAACGGATGTGCCTCTCGAAAGACTATCTTGTAGATCAAAGAAATCGAGATCACTAATAAACCATCCATTTCTTATTCCTTCGGGTGCAGTTTCCATAACCTTTGAAACCCAAGTGTCTACACTAGTTTTGAATTTATACATATCATTGAATGATACAGAATATGTAAATGCACTGTTTGATTCAACAACTATTGCTTTAATTTCACCAGTCTCTTTTGAAAGACGTGGCAACAGAGCTTCATTTATATATCTCTCTTTTCCACGAAAATTTAACCTCATAGCTTCTTTCACGCATTTTTTGAATACTTCTTCCTTATAAGGAAATTTTGATGTTTTGCAACAAGGAGTCTGATCTCTGTCAGACATGTCAATACATCTCCTTTTCATCCATTTTTTAAAATGCTCAATAAAACAAATTGAGGAACGATAAGGTGAAGGTTGATAAAAACTCTGATTTCTTAATTGCTTGCAGAATGATAGAAACCATCTTTGTGAACTAGGAGCAGCAATATTAAAAGAAGGATCAAACACCAAGTTGCCTTTATCAAATGGATTCAGATAATTACCATTATCAACTGGTAATACTCCCCAAACAATAATTACAGATAACCTATGAAGTAATTGTTCTTTTTCTCTTTCAAATCTAAAAAGATTTTTCAAAGTTAAATCATATTTTTCAAAAGGATGATTATTACTAAATATTTGGAATTCTTTTGAATCTGGAAGACTAAGGCTTGGGTAATAAAAGACTACAATTGCTCCCCCAGCAGCAAGAGAGCCAAATAAAAATAACCAAAAGAATCTTGGTTTAATTATCAAACAAGGAAGAATTTTTTCAAAAAATACTCTCGCTGAATCAGTAAAATTGTAATGCAGTTTCCACATAGTGTTACATATTGATGAACAGCACCAAAACCTTTGAAATTGTGGTAAATAAATACCAAATGGTGGTATACAAAGGCAGCAAGTAGATGAACACCATTTCTCTGCAATTACAATTGAGGCTGGTATCCATGTGATTGTAAAAAGAAAATTGGCAAGGACTGCAGTTCCAGCAAATATGCTAAAAGTAAAAAAAATTATTTAATTNAAAATGTCAAATTTATGCTTGCAAAAAAGGAAAACTTTTTGCGCATAGAAGCAACACCAAAGGCACGAACGGTCGTGGAAAAAGTCATTCCAATATAAATAAAAAAATCCGTCCGATTATCAGGTTTATAAACACATAATCGGATTTTATACAAGACTAGAATAATTACAACTCAATTTCTTTAATTAATTTAATCAAATTTACTCAGTAACTATTAATATAATGTCCCATAAAATTATATTCACCTAGACTAGTTATTCCCAAAATGGGTGCTAGCATCTCCTTGAGAGTGACAGAAGACTCAAGGGGTGCTGAAAAACAAGGGGCACAAAAATTAATTTTGAAACAAAAATATATATACAATACATATATATTTCTTGTATATAGAAGAAATATATACACTAAAAGTGGGGCAATAGCCTGAGAAATTTGGGAAACACTGATCTAGACAGAAATCGATTTTCTAAACGATGACTTAATTATTGAAAGTATTTTTACAGTGACTAAAAATATTGTAACTGAAATTCTCCCATTAATCATGATGAGTTTAACTCAGTTTTATTATTATTATTATTATTTTAATAAATACAAGTAGTTTCTCCTATTTTATATTTTCATCAAAAATAATATAAAAAAACATGGAATAAACAAATTTCTTACAAATTTCAGTAACATTTCCAAAATCCAAAATTAAAAAATTCAATATTCAAATAAGGTGAAATTATTAGTGTTCTAAGTCTAAAAATATTCTGTCTAAAAATATTCTGGGAAAATAAATTATTTCTATGTTATGGCTCATTTTAAAACTGACAAGTTTCATTTCTTCTTCTATCTCATTGTTTAATATTGGGATTATATTTTTTATCCCCCTTTTGCTTAAGTATATTCAAATTAATATGGGTATGTCTTTCAAAGTAATAATCTTATATTTATATATTTGCAACTGTATATGAATTAACTGTATATGAATTGTTAAAATTAACAAATTACCGTATTTACTCGGGTATAACACGATCTTGCATATAAAATGAGATGTGACTTTAGAGATCAAATAAAGAAAATTAGATTTATTAATACAATTCTAATTTTATTTCGTTTAATCACAAAATATTATCAAATGAACGTATTAAGGCAAACAACCATGTTTGTCTTAATATGTGATGAATGGAAAACAAAACCAAAACATTATAGTACACATGACTGAAAAAAGTTTATTTTTAAAGATTCAGAATGTGCTAATATTCATTAAAAATAACAATTTATAAATGTAGTTATTTTATATTAGTTACTCATTGCTAAGTGACCTGTATTTCATTATTGTTTTTATAAATAACGAGAAACTATTTTCTTTAAATGAATGAGATGCATCGCAGTTTTTAATTGATGGATGTAGGATTAAACCAATAAACAAAGTCTTATGTGTTTATTGGTGTGTATCTTAATTTGTTTATAGCGGTACCAACTTACGATAAATAGACTGTAGACATGTAATGACAGCATGAACCATGTATACTGAGTGAATCTACCATTACCTGGTGAGGAGAAACCTTTACACAAGTTATACATGGCTCACAGAAATTATTACAAAAATACAAAGAATCCTTGTTCGCGCATATAGGACAATCTAGATTTTTGAAGCAGTGAAAAATTAATAAAAACCTCATCTTATATGCAAGTAAATACAGTATTCGAAGAAAAATTTGAATTCAAATGTGGTTGCAGTACAAATGTACATTCCAACAAAGAAAATGTTATAACTGATAAAATCAGTAATTTTTTTTTTTTTTTACAAAGACTTAATGGTGGCTAAAAATATTTAGGTTTCTTATCATTTCATAAATATTAACAAATATATCACATTTGTAATGTATAATACTTAATTTTAAGCTAAGCCACAGCATAAAAATAATAGATTTTCTTGAAGAGAATCAAAACTCAAAAGTTACATCTTTAATGAGAGCATGACAAAATTCACTCAATAATATCTATGGTGGGCACATATTCCACTATAAGTTAAATATACTAATTTTGCCAAATAATGTATGGTCAAATTCAGAATGACAAAATTGGATAAGTTAGGATTATATTGCTGCAATAGTGAGAACTTGATTTGTATTTCAGATCTGGGACAATGGGGCAATTTATTAAGAGATAAGTTTTATAAAAACCGTTGCAATAAAGAAATTTATAGTTTGATAAACCATGCTTAAGGAAAAAAACAAATTTTAAATTTCTTTTCATAACATTTTTGATAGCTTATAGCATATATATTTATAATTTGCATGTGTATTTAATAATTGTTCTGATCATATTTTTCAAAACAAACTCTAGTTTTCATAATATTTGTTTCTATTTTTCTATTATTTATCTTCAGGTAATTTTATTTAATAATAAATATATATGTTTCCAAGTATATTTATTATTTGTTTTATAATCATTTAATGTTATAATTTACTTATCATAATATATATATATATATATATAAAATACTACTATTTAAATTACATTTTACATTAAAAAGGCATTAAAAATATAGGGTGTTCTATAACTTAAAAATGAAATAACTTCACTTATCCAGTAACATTCCAATTTAAAATGTTATCAAGTTGAAGCTAGATTGGAAACCTGATGTAGGCTTATGAAATATAACAAAAAAGTTTGTGTTCTTAATAAATGTGTTTGCTGGAAATGTGAGAATGGTGTTGAGATTTTATTTGGATGGTTGAGATGCAAATTTTCTTTAAAAAATAGCTAAAACAATGCTCCTAAAAATGTAAAATCATCACTTTATTGTGTATAAAACACACACAAAACTTGGGAAAAGGATAGAAAATTCGAATCAGTCACTTTTAGAATCTGACCCATCAATTTCATAGTTTACAAACATAAAAGCATTGTACTTGTAACACACAGTGTCATTCTATACTCTCTATGGTCATTCTATTTTGTAGATAGACATGGTCATATTCTACATTCTGCACAATATTTAAGTATCAAAAACATTATAAAATTTTCTAAACAGCAAATTTATAAATAGAAGTAGAAAAATACACAAAATAAGTGGAAAAAGAGGAAGAGTTCAGTGCCCAAATATCCCCTCCAAAAATTGTATACTTAATACAGAACCATCCAGTGATATTTTGAAACAGTAATCTGTGCAAATAACAAAGTCTCAAATGTTCTAAATAAGCAGAGGTGATAGCAATAGCTGCTGCAATGGTAGTGGATGAGATGAGATGAATAATGAATTTAGAGTTGAAATGAATGGTTAATAGCACTAAAATAGCTTCTCTTAACATATGGATTACTTTAAATATTAAAAAAACAAAAAAAGGAATTTAGCAATTGAACAGTGTGTTTTTAGTTATTGATGGATGTACTGTACAATATATATAGGTGTATTATCAATGGATGCACACAGGTTAACTATAATGAATATTTTTACATTTATAAATGATATTTACATTACTCTATTGCATGACACAGCCATATTTGACTTAAGTGTAGCTAACAAAAGGAGCATAAACAAATTCCACTTCTAAATGTGGCATCAAAACATTCAAATATTCCAAAAAAAAAAAAAAAACACTATTACAGGAAGAATTCAACAGATAAATTTACAACTGCTCAAGAATTGCTGTCTGGTAAATGCACTCAATGAAGTTGACTACAATTTAGTGATTTTTCATTTGTAATTTTCTTCAAAACTGAATTTACTGTTATAGGTACAATATTTCCAGAAATAGTTCATATTTTAATATCTTTATTAGAAGAAATCAAAAATTCTCCAGAAATCAATTACAGTATAAAATGTGGTATCATTCATATCTTATTTTTTCACTCAAATTTTACAAATATTTTAGATCTCAAGTTTACAACAAACTTTTCTGTATAATTTAACTTACAGACAAAAATAAAGTTGTATCAATATTTCCTGGAAATATTATCCCATGTTCATAATACTACAGACTTTCATTCATAGAAATTTAAAAATTTATGCAGTTAAAAAAAAATACTTGCCATTATTTTGTTCAAAAATATAGCTATAGTGCTTCCTTATTTTATAATTTTAAATATAAATAAAATAAAATGGTTTATTAAAATTTTTAAAGGTAGCAAATTATTGGAGTGATTGGTAACGCAGAACCTTATACATGATAACTAAATAGATTAATTTATATCTTAGATAACAATATTTTACTTAGTGATAGATAAAACATGATTAATTAATTACCTGAAACAGCGGATTGCAGTAACACTGCTTGTAAAACTTGCAAAAAATGCTACTGCAGTTGTAATACTGGTTACAAATGTTGAGAGACAGGAATGATGAAGTGTATCTCTTACTAATTTTACAAGTGTTCCATTATTTTTTTCTGCTTTGGCACATAACCATACTTTACAATAGATGCATGCATCATCAGCACCTATTCCTAAATTGAAAAATTATACATTATTAATTATATGTATGATAATTTTATTCAAATTGAATTAATCCTTAAAATATTTTTTATTAATATACAATAGAAATGGTCAGACAATTTTTAACTTTAACTAACACTACTTTATATAAAATACAAAATTATGATCTAATCAGAGTGAGGCAGCTTCTATGATAATGTTGTTAGTCTGAAAATAACAATTGATATGTGATCAAATTCATTTCATTAAAGTATTTGACAGTAAAAATTGACTTCTGAAGATTTTTCTTCTTAAACTCGAGTAAAATTTAAGGTAAATTCATAAAAAATAAGCCGCACATCTTTATCTCAACACCGGAGATAATCAGCTTATTTTTATTAAAAAATAAGCTGATTTTATTTCAAGGAAAAATGCAACATTGATGGCATCAACTCTGTTACAGACTATTTGACAGTTGAAAAAGTTTTATTTTAATAAGATGAAAAAACAGCCTCTTAAAAAACATTTTTTTTAAAGTAACAGAAATCAAATTTTTACAGATTTGCCTTAAATTTCATTGGAGTTAGGAAAAAATTATTCTTTAAAGATCTTTTTTCTTAATTGTGAAATTTTATGTTAACTTTACCAGTAATATTACAGCATTTTACTTATCCAAGAATATTTCCTAACTAGATGTAATGTTGTTCTAGAAGACAAATCTAAAATATTTTGTTTTCAACCATTTTCAAAAAAAAGTTTACTTTCCTAAAGTTAAACTCTGTTAAATACAACAGAGGAAAAGTGTGGCGATTGGTCAAAAAACCAATTAAGATTTTTACATTTTTGAACTCAAGGTATGTTGAAATGTTGAGAAATGCAAAAACATTCATTCACTTTTTCTGTAAGTATGGATGTTAGTGTATGTGTGGGAGGGATAATTTTGTTCATTTTGAAGCTTAATAATTCCTATGCTTTCTGTCAAAAATTTCTAATACAGAAACCTCTCCTATGCAAGTTTGTATATTAGGGGGACTGATGCTATTAAATTTTGATGGTTAAAGGTTGAGGGGGTGGGGAAACAAAAGGGGGTTGTATGCCATATCTCAAGTAGGATTGGACATAACGAAAATTTTACTCATTACATTTATAATTTTTTTTATAAAAGCCATCCCTACCCTCAAAATTAAGGTTTTGCCATTTTATAGTAATTAAAAATATAAGTTTGTTTTTAATATGATAACAGATGGCACCACAAAAGTTTTAAATGTTGGTGGAAAAGCTAAGCAACTCATTGCTGGAATTTTTAAGGAGTTACTTTATTATTATTTATTTTATTTATTTATTTATTTTTTAAACAGAACTTTTATTACTTTTCAATAGTTAAATAACTTAAAACAGATTTATTAATGCCATTGTTTCTGGATTTGTATCAACTTATTCAAATAACAAGCCACCAGTAGCAAACATGTGTGTTTTTTTCCCTAAACTTAGCAAAATTTTATTTAAATTTCCACCCTGCTTAACAGGCCATTTTCAGGTGTGGATAGAATGTCCATGTAAGTTAGGAAGGAAAATGGGTCAAAATAAACAAGTAGGAGGGAAGGAACTACTACAGTGGCATTGATGCAAAAGACTAAAAAGGTATTGCCAGGCAGGGAAAAAGCAAAGTATCTCTTCCCTCTGACAATTTAAATATGCAATAAATATATCATTAAAATGTATTACAAAGCAATTTAATTTTATTCATTCAGTTGCATCATACGACAACTTAAAGAAGCTTAAAGAAAAAAACTCTTTTGTTAGTTATATAAGTACTAAAACCATTTAATTTAACATTATTTAAATGAGATATTCTTAATGTTTTCAAAATTTTAAATTAACAGATTTAATTATTTTAAAATAATGATTTTTTAAAAGATTTCAATTTATTCTCTATTACTAAAAGTTGAAATAATAAAGGAAAAATTTCCTAAAGAAAATTGATATATTTGTTTAGAGATTTCAAACTTTTGTCACTACTGCAATATCATTATTCTATTACCAGAAACTATACACTTAATGATATAAATACAGTAAGACCCCACTTAATGCAGGGAATGAGTTCCTAGATGACAAAGTGCTAAACAAAACAGCATTAAACGAGGTCATTTTAACATAGAGTAAAGAGGGAAAGGGAAACACGCGATTCAAAATAAACAAATTTTACTTTAATTTTAAGTTGTTTTTATATAACTACTCACCACACCACACTAACTTAAAAATTAATTGGTTCCGTGTGTGTATTACACACACGGAACCAATTTACGGTGTGGTAACATCAAAAAAATAAACGTTTTCAAACCCCCTTCTGGGCTCTGCATCAGGTTCTAATGGTTTTTAGACGGAAATTTGATTAATGAATGCTGTTCAACTAAGAGTTTGATCTTGAGTTCAAAAGGATTTACAAAAAATTTATGTTGCGCATGTGCAACAGGTCGGCCTGCCCAGATACAATGAGTGGCTAGAGCGTGCTGTGAATCAACTCTTGCCAGGCCATTGACAAAAGCATCTCCTCTTTAAAATTTATGCATGTGGCTGTGATGGAGGATTTAAAGATGTGCATAACCTCTAACCATTTGAGATGTTCATTGGAAGGTGCAGCAAGGAGGAGATTGGCTCAAGTAAAGCCAGCTACTTTGTCTGGGTCTTTTACGTAAGTAGTGAGGGCCATGGAGGTTCTCCCGTGATGAATATCAGCCTGATATTCCTGCATTCTGATGCCCATGGATTATTTAGTAGAGCCTATATATATCAAGTCCCTATTGAATCTATTATCTCTTAAAGTGACAACATAGACTTTAGGTCATCTGCTGGGGTTGAGGATCTTTACCATTAAGTAAGATGTTAAAAATAGTAGGACACCTCCTGAAAGTGAGATGTATCTGGTGCTTCCTGGCAAGCTTTGTGTATATAGATCTTAATAAGGCTTTAGATGCCGCAGTCTTCTACAGAACTGGATCGCATGACCCTACCAGGATGTATGAAGACATTGATCCTGGTTTATGATACACTGAAGTGTGGATGCCTGTGTTTTCTACTCTAATATTTATGTCCAGGAAATAAACTTTGGTAGGGTTGGATTGTTCTATTTCTAGCATCAATTTGTAGGGGTTATTATTAAAAGAATCTACTAAGGCTGTTACATCCAGCACATTTTTCCAAAAAATAATAATGTCATTAATATACCTCCTATATAATTGGATGTTGGGGAGGAATTGAGGGAGGACCTTGTTCTCTAACTGTTGAACAACCATCTCACAGAGGTCCCCTGAAACCGGGCTGCCCATGGGGACCCTTGGCCTTGTGTGTAGACATCGCCATTAAATTGGAACACTAAATTATAACATATCAAATGTGCCATTTCTAGCACCTGGTTATGTAATGTGTGATCCCTGACAATACGAAATAAAATGTCCCTAAGCACACAAAAAGCAGGAGGGAGCTCAATGGAGGGGTAGAGGGACTTAAAGTCCAACACCGTGATGTAACGGGAGGATGTGACCTCTTTCAAGTGTGTTATAAGCTCCACTGGACTAGCGATAGTGTAAGGGTATCTCTCCAATTGTGGAGCGAGAAGGATGTGCACAGCCTTCTCCAACCTCCGTGTAGGCACTCTTGCTTTATCCATAACTGGGCAGAGCTGTTGGCCTGGTTTATGTGTCTTTGCAAATGCAAACAATTTAGGGACATCAGGAGTCAATGGCTAAGTTATCCAGTGCCAGGCATTTAATGAGACTGGTACAGGCGAACCGCTTCACTCTGGAATGTAGCTTATTAATAAAACCTTCGTCCACTCTATCGCAGTGGGTAAGTGATAAGTATTCTTGTAGGCCCCTTTCATAAGTGTCACATTTCACGAGAACCATGGCTTTTGTTTTGTCGGCCCTAATAAGAGTGATGTTGTTTAGTTGCATCCAATGCACTGTACGTCATAGTTTGTCTCTCAGATCCACTATTTCAGATGACTCCTTGGAATTCTTGATTTTAAATGTGGCCATCCAGCGATAGTACTCCTTCTGTGTATCAGATAGACCTCACAAGAGAATTTCCAGATCAGGTATGAGGCCCCTTGTGTCGATCTTCTGAAGAGGTAGTGCAATGGCTGGTCCATATTTGAGAACTTACACAACAAAGCTCGGTGGGTTTAAGTTATCCCACACTATAAATGAGGAGGAGGGTTGTTTGTGACTCCTGGGAACTTGGAAGCATAGAATCCATTGGAACTTCTTGCAATAATGCCTCTTTAGATTGATTCTTAGCCTATCTTAGATGTTAACTATTATGGTGTTCTTTATTCCAGATGGGTCTGGAAATCCTATTTCCACCAGTTTTGTTAATTTAGAATATAGTTGCTTCCTGGGGTAATGAATGGCTCTGTTCAGGCACATGTTCACTTTACCAAGGAAGGGTTTGCTCTCCAAAGGGAGGTGGATCTGGAAAAAAGACATGGAAAAGACACTGTTCTTTTTACAGTCCAACAAGAACTGAAGATGAGCTCTGGTCCTAGTTAGGGCTAAAACTGTTCTATGGTAGATTTTAGCTGGCATTGCTAAACAATAAATAACTACTCACCACACCAACTTAAAAAATTATGCACACGGAACCAATTTACAGTGTGGTAACATCGAAAAAAATGAACGTTTTCAAACCCCTTCTGGGCTCTGTTTTTCAAAAAAGATGTTTTTTGATGTTACCACACTGATATTACCATTCTGTGTGCATAATTTTTTAAGTTGTTTTTATATTAATTTGCTTAATAATATATGTTAAATAACACATAAACATATGCACACAGAAATGTAAAGTTTATTTTTTGTAATGAAGGTCCTGACTTTTCTGAAATTCTTATTTTTTGCAATAAAGTGGTGTAGTTTCATTTCTCATTTTTTTTTCCTTAAGCAAATGTCAGTAGCAGAAGCAAAAGCTTTGCACTCCTTTCAAAATCTAGATCATTTGCTACAATTTGATCAATGATTTTGGCTATTGTTACCAAACTTTTACTAAGGATATCTGTAGAGAAATTTTTTGGGTTCTTCATTTTCAGAATCTCTATTTTCAAGTTCTACATGAATTCCTTGTTCTGCCAGTTCTTGAAGGTCATTGTTGGTAAGGCTCTCACTAGAAACCTGCAGTAACTCCTCAATATCCTGCTCGTCTACATCTCCTAGTCCTGCTGTATCAATTAGGTTGATAATTTAGTCAACCTAATGATACAGTGATAGGTTCTTCTCATTGAGAATTCTTGGATACCTTCAGCAGTAACTTCTTCCACACTTTGTTCATGCATTTCTCAGTTAATTCTTGCCAAGTGAAGTTGATATTACCTATGGCATCCATAATGTTATAGTTTTTCAAAATTGTACAAAACAAACATAGATTTAAGGGAGGTACAGCACTATGATGAATTGCCACCTTTTATTGATTGGTTTGTGTTTGCAAATAACCATATTATATATGAATCAATGAAATGCCACAATAATTTAAATCATTGTAAATTTTGAGCTTTTTTTAGGCTTTGAGCAGACCACATTACATTGAATCAGCATTAAGCGGGGTCTTACTAATTTTATTTTTATATTGGATTATTCGTTCATTCACCAATGAGATTACAAATTGTGTTGTTAATTAAACCAGTGGTTCCGAAACTGTGTGCTGTGGCACCTAGGGGCACTGCAGCCAGGTTGGCCATTATTTAAATGCAGTGATGCAATGACAGCATTTGTGCAATGCATTTTTTGTATGCTGGCTGAAATTGTTGTGACTTGAGATTAGTCTCATTAGAACATTTTTTTAAATAAATACAAGCCTTTTTCTTTTATTCAGAATTAAATTATATTCTTTTTCTGTTAATAGAAAAAAAGAGAAACAATTTGTGTTTCTTTCCACCACTTTTACTTCTGCTTTTGGTTATGAGTTATGATTTATGAGTTAAAATTTGTAGTGAATGAATATTTGACATCTATTCTAAATATATACCAGTAAAAAACTTTGCTTAAAATTGTCACAACACTTTTTATATTGTAGAAAAAGAAAAAAAAACATAAAAACAACAGCATTGGAAATTGATGAACTGTCACAAAATTTTTGAAGTGAACAAAGCCTATGGTTCAAGCAAGCAAGAAGGAAAAGCCTCCTTACTATTAAAATAATTGTATTAAATACATTTTATTATTCTTTTGTTTGTATCATTTAATTACAATACCAACAGACCAATTATTCTTAGACAGAAAGAGTACTAATCTAACCTAGGTTTCCTCTCTAAGTATATTAAATATAATCAATAAGTACTATATACATAAATACTTTATATTGGGATCCACTGCCAGATGACAGAATGTCAAGGAATTCATAAATCACAAAAGTTTGGGAACAAGTGAATTAGACTATAGTATAATAGATTATCTGAAATTTCCTATACTGTATTATTATTAAAAAGTAGAGTAAATTTCTATTTTGAGTAAAAATTCTTAATGTAAAGAAGTAAAATCCCTATTATATATATATATAACAAAAATATCATATAAACAGTGGTGAAATTTGAAAGCTTTGCAGGCAAAATTTTTTGATTTCAAAAAATTAAAAATTTCAAAAAGTATACAAGTTTGTACTATGTAATTTTTTAGATATTCAAATATTACAAATTGTTTTCCTTGTTTCTTATAATTATGTATTTAAAATTGACTAACTTAAATTATTAAATTTAATAGTTATGAAAAAAAAAATTACTTACCTATAGCAATTACTGCTGTAAGTAGATTCATAAAAGGGAAGAATGAAATCTGGTAAACAACTGTATATATAAAATATGCAATACTGAGAGAGAATACTATAGCCATAAATGTCATGAAAGTTACAAAAAATGATGCTGAATACATCCAAAGTAATAGAAATGTTGCTGCTGCTGCTAAACCTACATAGATTGTATCATGTAACAGATAATCATCAAACAAAGTTTGTTTTGATCCTAATTTCATGGCAACAACTTTTGTAACTCCATCTGCCAATGAGATCTTCTCTAGATTTGTATAATAATTCAATGTTGTTGAGCTTCGAGCAATTGGCAAAAACACCATAGTATAAGTTAATTTTGATGTTTTATTGAAGTCAGAATGTTTCGTAAAAAAATTTATATCTGTGAAGTAATGCATAATATTGTAAACAGCATTATACTGTCTGCATTGCTTTGGAGCATCTCTACAAAGTACTGGATTGCTGGTACATTCATGATTTAATTTAACATTATAATAATAAACTGCACATGATTTTAAAAATTCTTTTACATAAGTAACATTTTCCTCTGAGATTTCATGACAAGAGGATAAATTACACAATAATGCCACATAATTAGGAAGCGACCAACTTCTGCAACACGTTCCTTGGGGAGTTTGTTCACATAAATGTTCAAATTCAGAAAAATTACGAAGTTTTTCATCAATCTGACATATAGATCTCAAGGATTCTGCAGTAAACAAATCATCTCCATTAACAGATTGAAAAACAACACGTGAATAATCCCGTTCTGAAATGTAAAAAAAAAAAAAAATCACAGAATTAATTTTTGCAAAATAAATAACATATTATTAAATTAAGAATAATAAAAATATCATGCAATTTGTTAAAATATAAAAAGTTTAGTATTTGAATAAACATTTAAAATGTATCCAAATATACTGAATAAATAAATTACTTTTCATACTGAATAGAAAGCATAGAAACTTCTAACTTAAGAAATAAATTCTAATGAAATTTTTAAAAATAAAAACACACATCAACAATACAATATAAATTTATTTAACAGGAAATATTTTTGCTTTTTTTGCATTTGAAGCATCTTTCCTGAATTACAGAATTTGAATGTTTTAAAAATTAGAAGATTAGAATTTAAATTTTGTTTGAAATGTATTTAAAGTCAGATAAAAATTTAAATGTTTTTTAATAGTTTAATTTTAAGTAAGTAAGTAAATAAAATTTTGTAGTAAATTTGAAAATAAATGTATTGCAAAAATAAAATATCACTTTATGTCTTTCTGAATTTTGGAATTATGTAATAATAATGGTCAAGAGCAGGCCTGGTCAACCCGCGGCCCATCACATTAAATTGTGTGGCCCGCTAAGTGATATTATATATCTATTAAAACTTTTGTTTCCCATTATGTGTATACCAAAACAATTAAATAAATGAAAATTTGCATGTGTCATTGTTATAATGCACAAGTGTGAGTACAAACTCTTCACTAGTAAAAAGTTATGACAATTTCGATGACAGCGAGATTTTTTTCTTAAGAGTTAGAACAAGTTAAAACAATTATGCAGCATTTGTGTCAATACATAAACTAAATGCCATTATACAATTTATAATTAATCATAATGAATATATATTAATTTAAACTAATACATATTCATTATGATTATTATTATTTTATATATATATATATATATAAAAGAAATACTCTTCAAATAATTTGAGGCAAAACTGGTAATTAATATATATTTATGAATTTCCCTTTTCTGTAAGTTAGTTGTCACAATCAAAATTATCTCCCCATTTCCCAGACCACTAAAAGAATAAGAATAGTTTCTATTGGTTACATTAATCTACTCAGTTTGGAAAAATCATAAAATTACCAGTAAGTCAACTTTAGGAATGAATTTATGAAACTTAATGTCTGCTTCAATCTTTTTTCAAGGTTCTATTTTGTGCAGTTAATTATATATAATAAATTTTTAGACTAATTAAATAGTGAATTAAGTACATCTAATAAATATATGTTGTTCGTTTACACAAATTTTGGATGATGCAGTTGATTTAATCATTGAGTAATGCAATAAGTGTAGGTTTTCACCCCATAAATTTAATTCATTTTATTATTTCCAAAAAAAAAAAAATTCTTATTCCTTAAAAAGTTACTTAATTTTTGTAAAAATAAATTAAAAATGTTTATATTAATTGTCAAAAACAAAAGAATTCTGGAAAAAAAGATTGACCCAAATTGAATCAATTTATATATAATAAACAAATGATTTATTAATTTTTTTAGGTAATATGTCACAATTCGTTAATCTAAAATTAAAGAATTTAATTGGAATTAATTAATCATTAAAAATATTTAATGGCCTTTAACAAATTCATATTATCTGCTGCATATAAAAATAAGAATTAACAATATATTCCATCATATATTATTTAATAAACAAAATTAAACAAGACTGAAAATATACAGTATACTAACCAGGATCATTGCAAAAGAACTCATTTTTTCCAGGAATGAACCTGTTCTGATGAGTATGTACTTCTTTCTCTCTTATAATGCCAAAAGTCACTTCACTATCTGTATTGGAATTATCTGCACTCAAAGTATCTTCTTCATTTTCCAGCATTGTCCACTTACTGGTATGATAATTTTGTTTTCCATTTTCTAAGTGATTTTCTGATGTAACATTTATTGTTCTATTATTGAATTCAATTGTAAAGTCTGAAAAACCTTGATGACTTGAATTTCCTATCTTATTATATGAAAAATCATCATCTTTCACAGGATTTGTAGTCAAAGATCCACCCCATGCTGAATGCTTTTCAAGATGTGTCCATGCAGTTGCCCTTTGAGAAAGAATAGTACCTCTTGATTCAAATCCCTAAAAGTAAAAGATTTTAAATTAGAAAGAAAAAAATCATCAAATCTCTTTATTATATCATGATAAACTTTTTAATAGATGTAGACAATAGCCATCAAAATTTTATGAATTTTATTTTATGACTCAATATTACAGTATAATTACTCAAATAGCTACAGTCTATTATGTTTAAAATACAATTTAAGATGACACTAAATATTAACAAAATAATAAAAATAATTTATTAAATTATGTAAACTGATCAATGCAAATTTGTGTTACATAAAGACATTTAATTAATTAGATTTATTCAATGAATGAATTTACTGAGGAAATTTTAAATGTAGCAGAAGAAAGATTTTTTTACAGTTTTAATATAATAGTCTCTGAATATGTCTTTCATCAAACAAATCTTTTTGAATATTTATTTTAAATTAAATTTTATACATATTTCACAATTCATTAAAAAAAGGAAAATATAGATTCAGATAACAGAATATTATAATAAGTCAACTTGCACAGTTAATTTGTTGAAAATTTGTGTATATTGAAAAGCCATGTAAACTCAATGATGCTTAAATATGGTACTTTTGAATAAATACAGGTATTTCTTTAAATATAGTTGCCTTACAGTCCTTAATTCTAATTTGTCACTGATTGTCTACTTGGACACAACTTATTATTAGGACTTTATATTGGTGTTTTTTTGGATATTGACACAAAGATGAGATTTTAATCAGAAAAAACAAAATTTCTTTAATAAAGAATTTTTGTTTTTTCTTGTTTTTTCTGACAATCAATTTCTTGATTAACATGATTAATTAATCCCTCAATGCTATCTTATATATCAAAATTGCATTAATAAAATACATTATCTATGTTAAGTAAAGACAGCTGGTAAAGCCACATTAATTAAAATTTCTGCCATGTATACAACAGGATTGCCTCAATTAATTTCATATGTTAATCAAATCCCACATTAAGCAAGGGACACCTGTATATTCATTTCAAAGGAGGATAATTAAAGCTATCAATAAATAGCATCTGTGTATGAAAAGAAAAAAATTTACTTGCTTTTAAGTTATTTTCTTAAAGTTTTTCTTTCCATCTGTTATGGTTTTCAAAGTGGTACTTAAATTATGACGATGCTAGTTGCAAGTCAAAGTATTACAACTATGTATCTATAAAGCTACACAATTCAAATCCATATAAGTCATCAAATGTTTTCAGAGACTTGAAAATTTTTCATTTTTAGAGTATCTTTTTAAAATAAATTCCAGTTTAGTTACAAACTGAAAAATCATTTTACAGTTTTTAGTTCAGTTGTCAATTATGAAAAAGTTTTGATTTATATAGATAACTACTATTGACAGAAAAACAATCTTTAAAACAGATTTAATTTCTTGAAGATGGATTCTTAACTAATGCTTCTAGTAAAATAGAAGATAATACATACAGTTGACCCCCCTATAATTACGATTCCTATAAAACTACGAAAAAATATACGTATTTTGGAAATGTTGAGTCGGATTAGTGTAGAATCGATTAATTTTATGGAAGAAAACCTTTCAATCAGCCATAGTCCGTAAACTTACACGTGTTGGGCTGTGATTGGAACGACTTGTAAGAAATCGGATTCCTAATAAATTGGAATGTATCTATATCTTATAGGGGGGTCGACTGTATTTTTCACATTTTTAGTGATTAATTATAAAAAAATTGTTATTAATTATTTTTACATTTATTGTATTTTATTGGTTTATGGAACATTTTACATTATAAAAATAAATAATTCAAATAACTAAAAATCTCTCTTGATTTCTTAATTTGAGCTTCATACTAACATTAATTACATTTGAATATCTCTATTTATTTATTGTTTTCTTTTATTTAATCAATTTTGAAAACTACAATCATAATAAAAATTACCAGAAGATAAAATCAATTAAGTCATAATTCCCTGCAGAAAAAAGTAAAAACAAGTAAAAAAAAAAATGCTCTCAACATTTACTTTATCATCACAGTAAACATATTATTAAAAAGAATTGAGAGAATGTTGAAGGTCAAAGAAAAATTTCAGCTAACAAACTTAAGTTCCAAATTTTCAAAAATATTAATGGCTACTGTAGTATACAAAGATGTAAAGCTTTTTATATTTTATGTTTGAAAAAATTAAAGATATAATTAGGGGTTAATTTGGTGTTGATTGGCTGTGATGACCTCTTTCTAACCTGTTTTACATATTTCTTATTTTCATATTTTCCAGGTAGATACATTTAATAATTGTTTTATTTCTTTAATTTTTATTTGTTAGTTTTATTTTATTATTTTAAATTCTGTTTATTTCTGATGTTTTGGCATCAGGTCATCACAGTTTGCTTACTACTTAATTGTGTATATTTTGGAATAATATGTACTAATTATCATGTATGGGATTTTGTATTATGTTTTTGTAATTATATTTTCTTGTACCGGGTATTTTATTTATGTACTGTAGTTGTATTATGCAGAGGAAGTTGTGTATATGTTATGATTATTGTTGTATTATGTATTGGTTTTTGCATATAAGCATTTGGATTTTGTATAGAGATTACCTTTTTACTGTATTTGTTTGTTATGGGACAATGTTTGTTTGGTATTTTCCTTTTTTGTTTCGTGTACAAAGGGTATTTGTACCTTGTACTAAAATAAATAAATAAAGATAAAATTTATATTTTTCACTCACTTGAATAGGCTCTTCAAAAGTAGGTAAATCAGTAACTTTCAATGAAATAATAACACAAGTCAGTGCAATGGCAAGCACAAACAATATTATTAGACTTGGATAATTTGCTACTTGACGTGCATACCTTAAATATTTTTAAGTAAAAAAAAATATGATTTTTAAAATAATAATTGTAAATTTATAAAATTCTAATGATAATAATTAAATATTTTATTATAAAAATAAAAACAAACTTTATGTACTGAGAGTTGATATGGTATATTGTCTCTCTCATTACATAAACTTGAATTAATAATTAAAATCAATTTTGTAAACTACAGTAATATTGTTTATATATTTTTCAGTTAAATTTGAAATTAAATAATGGAACTTACAAATAAAATTAGAAATATGATTATACTAGGTGATCAGACAATAGCAGAACTCATGAGAAAATGTGCCTGGAGTTTAATGACTTTGCAAGTTAGATTTAGTTAAGCATCAGTCAGCCATGTTCTGCTACACATCACAAAATAATAATAATAATAATCTTGAGCATTTAGCTATTACAGACTCAATGGATAATACTTGAAACCCTAAATAAATTAATAATAAGCTTACGAACAATTCTTACTTTAATACAAAAAATTTGATTATTTTCATAGCTATATGAATAGAATCATGAGACAATCAAGTCTCAAAATAAACATCTTAGAAATTTCAGAAAACTTGCTTTCAATTACACTTGAATGTCTCAATCTTTCTTCAGATGACTGTTTCTTATATATAGATCCTGTATACTGTGATTCAAAGTTTCTAAACAGAAATCTTTATAAGAACAAACAATTCCAGACATTTTTGAATTAATCATTACCTTACTTTTCAATAACTTGTCATCTTTATACAAAAATAAAATTTTCTTATATGAAAATCCTCTTTTGTAGTGTAAGACATTTCCTATTATCACAACATTTAATTTAATTAAAAACAATGAACTAAGACTATACTTGTAAATTAGTGATATGTGACAAATCAGCAAGGAAGCATCACCACAAATGCCACACACAACTCCTCATGAGAATCCCTTTTGTTTGATCACGTGAGATGCACAGGTACATGACAATTATTTGTAATTTTTATGAAATGAAAATCAAATTATATAATATTGCAAAAAAAAAAAATATTAAAAAGAAATATTCATAATAATACTATGTTATGAATGGTATAATTATAAGAAATTATTTTAATTAAATATAATTTTCAAATAAATTTTTAATATAATGCGACAAATTGACATATAATTTAATTAATTTAATTATATCCAAAAACTTGAGAGATATGCTTCATATTTTCTATTTAAATCAAATAGTAATACAAGCAACAAGCACAGATTATATAAATATACATAGAAAAACAATCAAAATGAACAAATACATTAATATCTCATAAAATATCCTAAATACAATTTACTTGAAATGTTCAAAAATTTAATATTATATTTAATCATTTAAAATATGAACATTAAGAGTAAAGTAAAAAAACAATATATTAGATCAGAGATAATTTTCAATATTCATGATTTTATATGAAAATAAATGTTAAAATAGCAATATACTAAATCATGAATCTTTTTAAGTTTACAAGATTAACAGAATTTAAAGTTTCTAAACAAAAATCTGAAACTTTTGTAATTTATGAAACTTACTCACCACTGCATTGTTCAATTTTAGTCACCAAATCATTATTATTATTTGAATAATTAGATATTTCCATCCTGTTAATATTCTGTATCCTTTCAGTCTAAGTTTACACATCATTATTCTGAAATTTAATGTATTGAATTTTGACATTAATGTAAATTCTTTAAATACTTAAGCAATAAATAATAAAAATATTAGCACTAATTAAAACATTCAATATTAATAACATTAACTAAATGATTGCTGGATTAATTCTACATTATATATTGCAGAATTAAATAACTTATTATAATAATTTGATAATAAAATAACATTACTTAAATTTTCCTATTATTAATAAACGGTATCCTTTTTAAATTATATTAGAGATAACTGGATTCATTAGTATATTATCAATATTAACTAAATTATAAAAATTATACTATTTAGTTAATATGCTAATAATAATAATAATAATTAATAATAAAATGACTTCATTACTTGATTTTAGTTGAAATATAAGATTGTTTTTAATGTTTTAAAAAGATTAGAAAAGTTCTTTTAAATTCTGAACATAATATATGAAAAGCTTGCATACAGACAAATTATTATAGATCATTCTACTATACTAAAAGTACATACTGTTATCAGTCTTAGAAAACAACATACAAAATATACTACACTTGTCAAAAATGAAATTGCAACACCTTGAAGGAATTGCCACATGCAAATTGTATACAGTTGTAGAAGTGACAGAGATATGCAAATGATTAAGTTTGCATATGCATCAGGTCATGTTGTACCTAGTTTCGGGCTATAACAACCAGCAGTCAACTGAAACCATAAATGCTATCAGTGACAGTTCACAGTAGAAAACTGTTGAAGAAGCATAGAAAATGCCTTGGAGATTTAATTGGAGCTAAATATGACCAATTAACTGCTGGGGAATGAGACCATATCCTACAGCTGAGTGACATTGGTTTGTCAATGCATGCAGTTGCCACACATATTGGGAATTACATAAGTACCATCCAGTGATGTGTGATATGATGGATGCAAGCACATCTGGAAACATACTGAAGAGAGAGTGGATCACACTGGCACATGACAGAGTATACAGACTGGCAGATTCTCTAAAAGGCCCATCGGGACCAGTTCACCATGGCACATGAATCTGAAGCCACCTGTTGCCATCATTGGGTACATCTGTGTCCATCCAACCATTCACAACAGGTTGCATGAAGTCAGGTTACACACATAGCAGCCAAGGTGCCATTAAATGTTTGACACAGAGCTGCATGCCTAGTATGGTGTTGTCATCATCACAACTGAACAGCATTAGGTATTGTTTACAGATGAATCTCACTTCTGTCTGTGGACAGGTGTGGGAATATCCTGAGGAATACTACGTGACAGTCCTTTTCATCAAGCATCACACCATCCACATTGGGAGTCATGGTTTGGGGAAGCATCATGTTCAATCAGCAGACAGCCCTTGTGCACATTTCTGGTACTCTGACAGTGAACCCATACATCACATGAATTATGAGGCCTGTCATTACACTGGTGCAGGCTGCACCCAACATGGTATTCCAGCAAGACAATGTCTGACTGCACTCTCACCAGCTTGAATGGAATTCACATCCTTTCCTGGCTGGTAACCTCACCGGATCTCTCTCCCATCAAACACCTGTAGGATCTTGTCTATCATGAGATGACAAGGATCACTGCCACATACTGTAGATGGCATGCATGCCACAGTGGACAAGTTTTAGCAAGGTATATCTCAGACAACCATTAATTGCCTCATTGATAGTATGCCTCACTGTACAGCAGTCTGCATAGCTGCCTGTGGGGCCATATGCTTAAAACAGCATGCTTTAATGGAATTTCTAATGGCAAAAAATGTTCCATCTTATGACCCAGAGACTAAATGCCAGTCCATAGAGTACAGGCATACAACCTCCCTTTGTCCCAAGAAGTTCAAGACTCGGCCTTCAGCTAGCAAAGCTATGGTCACCACCTTTTGGGACTATGATGGATGGTGTTGTGCTGGTTGAATTTCTGGAATGTGGTGCAACTGTCAACTCAGCACACTACATACAGACATTGAAGAAATTGCATGCACATCTGCATAGAGTTGAGTTCGTCTGCAGAAAAAATGCAATCATCAAACACAACTATGCTCGGCCTCACAAGATGGGTGACAACTGCTACATTGGAGAAGCTGTAGTTCCAGAATGTTTTGCCTCACCCACCTTATAGACCAGACCTAGCGCCATGTGACTTCCGAGTTTTCCCAAAGCTAAAGGAATATCTGAAGGCCTTGGTATCACCAAGGGCTGGCCTCATTCTTATCTGACAGCATGCAGAAACTAGTGCACTGATGGTAGGAGTGCATCACTCCTGGTCAGGACTATATAGAAAAATAAAATACTCCTCAAAAATAAGACATTTCAAACTTTCTTTTGAATGTAACATCTTTCACTTTCATCAATTAATAAATGAGTTACAGCCCAGGAGGCAAAACTTATTGAACAATCCTCGTACATTATAACATTTTAATACATCTTGTACATTGTAAGTTCATTATTAATAAATATAGGTTTTGAAAACACATTCAATTAAACAAACTTTTTAGCAATAGTGAAAATTACTTCCCTGAATCATTCCATAAACTTGAGAGCATACTGCACTAAGTTTTACTAGTTTAACACAAAGTGTAATTAAAAAAGTAAATTTTCTGTTATAAATTTACAATTTATTTTGCTATTTTTAAACAATTATTGTTTACAATGTTTGTGGTTCTAAATGTTTATTTTCAAATTTATTAACAAATCAAAGGCTGGATTTCAAAAATAGATTTAAAATCTATTTTCATTTTAGACTAAAGAATTCTTGTTTGCTCTAAAAATGAGGATGCTTTCAATACAATTTTTTAACTTAATGTTATTGTGTCATCAAATATGTGTAATTATTAACTTTAAAAGATGAAAAATTAATAAAAAAAATATGATCTATTATTATTATTATTATTAAAATATTAATACTTACTATATCAAAAATATTCAGATGAAACCAAAATTTTCTTACACATATTTTAAATTGTAAAATATAATTTATGATTGAATTGAGCAGCCATTTTTGTTGATTCTGGTTTACATCATCATAACAAATAAACAACTGAAATAAATTAAGAAAATTTATATAGATGTAATTATAATCTCCTTATTTTAATATTTTACTTTAAAAATAATAAATAGATTTAAACAACAGTTATTAATGCAAATAATTATACAAATATACTTTTGAATTTTATAATAGCTCAGTTCAATTTTAATTTGATAATTTTTTTCATTAATACTTTTTATCTATTGTTTTATACATAACATCATATTCATTATTTTAAACATTAAATATTTTTAAATCAATTTTTCCATAAAATACCTTAAATAATAAACATATGCTAAGATATATTAATATTTTACTACATTTAAAAATTTTCAGTCAGAGAAATCATAAATAATTCATTATCAACTATTTAATGAAATCAGAGCAAATTACTCTACCAAATATTTTCAAAAATGACAATAAAGTAAAAACTGTTTGTAAACATTTCAAAATAAAGTAACAATAAGATAAAAATGCTATTGTACAGCAGTTTAATAATATTTTTGACAAAAGAGAGCAAATAAAATGAAAAGCAGTGTTAATACATTAAATAAAATTGAAAAAATTTATCCATAGAAGTAGAGAAAAATTAATTTTTAATTGACTTAATATTAAAAATATAATTTTGTCTTTGTCTTCTTTTTTTTACTTTACTTTTTTGTAAAATTTGAACACAATTTTAAAGAATAAAAGACTAATATAAAAATTTTAAAACCAAATGAAATTTATTATTCAGCTTGAAAAAAGTAAAAAATTTCATTATAATAAATATTTTAATTCATTATAATGCAATTTATGTCTTGAATAAAACTTGTAACATCTTTACAAATTTATCTAATTTAGCAAAAAATCATAAAATATTATGTTTAATATTTAATGACTTTATATACAAACGATCTCAATAAAGCTATTTTCAAAAGAACACTCAAATAAAGAAAACTATTGAAGCATTAATTACAATTATATTAAACTGTTTAAAAATCAACACACTTTTTTTTATTTAGAAATATATATATTTGCATTTTAAAATATTCATCTGATAAAAGCAACACCACTACAGTGCAATAATGAAAATGCATTTTGTGACCCAGAAGTAGACCTATTTCGGGGAACCATTATCTCGCAACAGCTCATGTGAAGAGACAAGGTTCCTTTAACTTTTTTGTTCCTATGGGAACTGTCTACAGTTCTGGTAAGTTCGCAACTGTCTCATTCAGAGATGTAATCGTACCAAAAAAATCTATATATCATTATCTATACCAAGATACATAAATTTTTGAATCACAATCCGATAACCACTCAAATATTTGATGGCTTCGAGGGACCCAGGATTGAATCCGGATGGTTCGAAAAAGCCCTGTGAATTTTTCGGGCAGCGATCCATCCGGATACGTCGGGCCCCGACCCTCACCACCCAACCGAACCTATAATGGGCTTGCTAAGAGTGGAGAGTTTAAAGTAAAAGAGTGGTAAAAGTAAAAAAAAATACTACTTGAATATTTTACTGAGTAGAAATTAATAATGTTTATGTATTTTTCCTTATTTTCCTATAAAATCTTATGAAAATAACTTAAAAAATCAAATATTTAAGTCATAAACTTGTTAGAATAGATTTGGACTCTTATCATTTACTATGGTTTAAAATAAATATTTATATTACATAGTGTATGTTATTTTTAGTTAATTTGTATATATATATGCACATATACACAAATTACCTAAAAAGTACTTCTACCGACCATGCATACAACTTAAAATTTCAATATAATAAAATATATAGACTGAAATCAAATGAAATACACGTGAATTTACTAATTTCCCGGGAAAATGAACGATAATACAAAGCATGCAATGCATTCTACTTACTCTTACTAATGAATTCTACTTATTTAAACATTTCGATAAAAAAAATTCTTAATACAAGTGTAAATTTCATATATAAAATTAAAATATGCATCTATATTAATCATCGTTGATTCTACTTCCAAAGACACGATTATTATCACAGAAGAGAAGTCGATCCGATTCCCGATTTCAGGGAAGCGCCATCTTGATAAAATGAAAACAATTATTTCTTCTTCTTCGCGTTTAAATATTCAAATTTAATTATTATAATTATTACTTTATAGAAAATTGATATTTATTATTATTATTCTGATACTTTTAGGAAATAATATTTATATTTTCTTAAAATATTTGATTACTAATGTAACGTAATTTTTGAATTTTTTTTAACTCTCTGCCCTGTGGGCACTAAGATGACCTATTTTATCAAGTCCATTATGGGTTCGGCCAAGTCTACAATGGGGCGGCCGGGTGACCCCGACATATCTGAACGGACCATTCCCGAAAAATTCCTGGGGATTTTTCGAGCCGTCCGAATTCGATTCCGGGTTCTCCAGAGCGGTAGGCTGTCATCTTGACCGCTCGACCATCCGACCGTCAATAATTTTTGGGATTTAATATTGGGTCCCTCACCACCCGGCCGCCTCATTTTGGGCCTGATCGAAACCATAATGGACTTACTAAAAAAATGTCCTCTTAGTAAACGCAGGAGTGGAAAGAGTTTTAAAAAATAAGAATTCAATTAAACGCCTAATAATTCGTCCTTAGTAGGTTTTATACTTTTAATTTTTAAAACTTTTTTCTCCTAGGAGATATTAATGAACGATGATGATCAGACTACCCGAATTAGACGGGGCAGTTCCGCTTTTTAATACACTATCCCGATTTTTAAACTGTTTGAAAAATGTGTCGCATACAATAATTCGTAAATGTTCATTGGTTGTTTGTTCATAGATTCTCTTATAGATAGAAAACTAGAAAACCAACGATCATCGACTGGAATCGATCACGTAGCTTATCTTACGTCCGTCAACGCCATATCCACTCTTTGAATACCATATGGTACTCTTAATGGAGTTAGCTTAATAGTGAATAGGAACGAGCGATTCCGTGATTCTAATAGGTGATGCGATCACAGTTTACCAACGAGAATGCGATTAATCTATTGTCATTTCAGCAGATGTACTGTAAGAAAAATGATTAAATAAAACAGATTTTGTAACATTTATTATAGATACTATGAATATATAATATATTATTGATTAAAGTCACAAATAAAATTATAAATCATAGTTCATAGTTGATGTTTATTAAATAACTATAAATATGACATAAATAAAAGTAATTATTTAGTGATTTTCTAATTAATTCAAATATATTTTTCGAATGATTTCTCTAGGCAAGAACATCCATTCACACCAACGCTTGCCTTATCAAAATATATTTCATCAATTCCCATAGATGCGTTTCGGGAGCATTCTTTCTCTCTCAGTACGGCATCAAGGATTCATTATTCTTTTATTTATCAGTACAATTTTATTAAATTTATCATGGTTTTAAATTCGAATGAGCGGAAAACGATAAAAAACCTCAAACAATCTTGAAACTCAACGATTTAAGTGAGTATCGAAGTCAGAATTGAACATTTTTACAACAGCATCCAGACACCTTTTGCCATTTCGATCACCCAACTGAATTCATACTGTTGTAGATTGCATCCATGTATTTTTTAAATTCTCATTATCAAATCTTATATCCATTCAAAAAGTTTCCCCTGAAAGGATAAGCCAGATACGGTACAGATGACTGGCACGATTCGATTGCTAACAGAAAAGTGTGATTTACAGGGGCAAGACGCTACTAATTTGAGGTGGAGAGCGTATATTTTAAATTAAATATATGCTTTCCATAAATAATACAATAAATAATTGCTCGTTTTAAATATGTAAAGCTTACTTAATCATAACTACTACAAGGATATCCATTTTTTAAAAAGTGGCACCTTTTTTTTGGCAAAAATAACTCACATTTAATGAAGTTTATGAACTCAAATAATATCGATTGCCTCTAATGTAGTTAGAAATACACAGATGATAAATATGTTATAGAATTGGAACGAATTCAATCAGATTAATATATAATTAATGAATCTTTTTGTTGTAAATAATAATACTAAAAATGTAAATACTGTACANCCATCCCTCGACCTGTAACCACCAAAATTATATAGCACCAATCTCCTAACATGCAAACCTTGCAAATTTTAAGTTTTTGCCGGAAAAGTTAAGCAATTCGTTGCTAGATTTTATATACAGTATAGCGATATACTGTAATAAGCTATTTTTGCTATAGATTAAGCAGCTTTTGCATTTATTCAAGTAGAATATTATAATGGTAAATAACACTAAACTTTTTATTCCATAAGTATTCTATGCTGAAATGTGGGTACGTCTACTATGCCATAAAATACGGTACTTTTCGCGACCCCCTTTTTAAATTAATCTGTAAACATATTTAATACATACTCCTTGCGCATTATTTCCCTTGCGATGTGACACGACATGCAGACTAAAGAATAAAAAATAGTATATAAATACTTAAAAAATATTCGTAAAAATATTTTTGAAATATGTAGAATTCATTGTAATACATTACTTATAACATAATACAGTATTCAACTTATATAGGCTATTGTTACTAAGCACTTGATCGCTGTTGGCAGTTCAGTCCTAATATTTCGTTTCGCTTTGCTTCGCCACGCGAAATTTTGGATTGAAAATCTGTATTGATATTTAATAATTTATGTAGTAATTCTTTATATAATCAATATTAGTTATATATATATAAGCTTATAGGTACTATCAGTTTTATGTGAATAATAGCTGTGGCTACTATTTCCTATAGCTTGCACTAGTTATTGATACTTTCTTCCTTTCTTCCTTTTTGTATTTTGTATTCTCCTCTTCTCTATTCAGCTCAAACTTTCTAAAGGCCTTTTTTTCTTTCTAATTGTCTCATGAATTTCTTCATTCCACCATTATGTTTCCTTATCCACTCTATTTCCTCCTATTTTTGTAATACCCTAGTTTTTGCATATTTCCTAACTTTTTGAAGCTACCATATTCCTCATAAAAACTCTGCATAACTAACTCTGCATAACCTCTGCT